AAAAACATAATTTAAATACTAAATAAATTATGGAGTAAATACTCAAAATGGTCCCTCAACTATAACTAAATTCACAAATTGGTCCTTGACTTTCAATTTTAACCAATTAAGTCCTTAACTTTGCAATTTTAACACGATTTGGTCCTTCGAACACTTCTGCATTAACGCTGGCGCCCGCGCCGTCATCGACGATCTCCAGAAATACCCGCAGCTCTCACCGGAGCACATGGAGGCCTCCAGGATGACGCTGCACCGGTTCAGAAACACGTTGTCTTCTTCACTCTGGTACGAACTCAACTACATTGAATCCAAAGAGAGGATGAAGAAAGGCGACAGGATTTGGCAGATTGCTTACGGCGGTGGATTCAAATGTAACAGTGCGGTCTGAAAATGCAACTGGAACCTTAAAAAATCGACGATGGACCATGAAATTACATATATGTCCTCAAAAATCACAATCAACAAACGGTCAAATAGACGGAGGACCAAATCGTGTTAAAATTGCAAAGTTAAGGACTTAGTTGGTTAAAATTGAAAGTCAAGGACCAATTTGTGAATTTAGCTATAGTCGAGGGACCATTTTGGGTATTTACTCTAAATTATGTGATAGATTGCCTAGAAAATATGTTTTTCAAAAATTTGAATTGATTCAAAAGCACACTCCAAAACTCAATTAATAGTATTATTAATGGCATAAAATTGCAAATAAACCAAAAAGCAATAAATAGCCATAATAATATTATTATGTTAATTTGGAGACTAAATATGAAAAAAACAATAGTTAAAACTGTTAACCTTTAAAACATTTTCGGATATAACTTCAAAATTTGATAAAACTTTCCAAAAAATAAATGCCACATAAATCAATTTGGAAACAATTCATGACATAATACCATAAAAATAATGTTATCATTAATTAAAATATTAATAGTAATAAGGAGCATTATAATCAGTATGAACATTTTAATAATGACAAACATGGTAATACATATCTTAATGTTTCCATATTCTTAAGGATAAAATGTAACTAGTTCAAAACACTTAACAGTTATAACAGCTATAACAGCAATAACAATAAACTGTAAACTGCAATTAATGATTTGTGTACCTTAGTGATGCAAACCGCATCTATCCATAGCATTAACATCGATAGCAAAGAAAGCTTTCAAAATATCTCATCTTCGCGGAGAGTTTAGTTACCTCGTCGATGCTAGTAACCTTAATGAATCGCTCAATGGTATGTAACAGTTTATTGGTAACACTTAATTACCATTATTGATAATAGCAATGAAAACTAAAGTGGCACGGGTAATCTTATCAATGTACTAAATATAGTAGATTACCATGAAATAATTATTATTATGAAAGGTAATAAATGATATTAGCCCCTCAACTTAATAACAATGATTAATAATGCAAATTAATGATAATTACAATTAATGCAAAACTGTAATTAAGGGATGCCAAACACTAATCTCAATTTACCACATAATAATTAATCATGACTATAATGAGTCATAAGGAAACCGAAATTAAGGTATAACAAAATTACCATTCGAAAGGCAATATATCAACTATGTACATTGCTTGCCATGAAAAGTACTTAAGATTATCGTTAAGACCCTGAAAACTATTAATAATTAAAACATAATCGACTTAAATAATAGTTATAATTCTTAATGGCCAAAACAATAATTATAATTCTTAATGACTTCAAATGGTAATTGTAATCCTTAAACCCTTAATGACTCAAAATCACGCAATGACAATAATTATAGCACTAAATTGCTTAAGTCGGGACCATGAGCCTTTATGGCCCAAGTTAATTATAACATGAATTTAAATGTTCTAATATGGAAATAGATCCAAACATTATATTATCACCAACGATAAATACCGTTAACAAAATACAGTAGTTAGTAATAATTGAAACTTAATAACCATGTTATAATCAAATAAAAGTGCTACAATTATTATTAAAATATTAATCAAATAATAGCAGGATCCATACTGACCAAGATAGGTCCTAAATAGCTTGTTCAAAATAGGTTTTAAAATCCCAAGTGAAAAATAGGACTAAAATATGCTCAAAATTAAATGAGAAACCGACAAGCTCACTTAACAGGCTCTATTGTCCAAAATTAGCCTAAGGATCCAAAATTGAATGATATTTAATATGAAGGCTATGAGTTAATAATATGCTATATCCAATCTTAATATATGCTTTTCTAAATGTATACTTATAATAAAATAATTTTTTAAAAAATATACAAAGCATGTTTGGATTTTTGCAAATTAATATATTATTAACTCATAAATACTATATAAATTGCAACAATTCAAGCAATTTAATATGAACATCAATATTAAATTAAAATTCAAGTAGCAAATTTAATACTTAATATTTGCTCAAAATTGAATAATAATTTAATTGTGAATATAATGCCAAAATTGAGAGAAAACTAAAAGGCATTAATACAACTCTCAATATTAAATTAAAATTCAAATAGCAAATCAAAACTTCATATTTGACCAAAAATGAATAATAATTTAATTGTGACATGAATTACTGTAATTGAACTAATAGTAGCAACAATTCAATCACAAATAATTTCACAATTAATCTCAATTTGAAATTTTTAATGCCAAAATTTAAAGAAAAACTAAAGGGCATTATTATTTCAAGAAAAAAAAAAGCAATTACTAAATATTTACCATTTGTCAAAATAATATACAATATTAATTAAGGTTAAATTAATATGATAATATTAATCCTAATATATTATCATGCCAAAATTAATATGTATAAAACTAAATAAGGCAAATAAATATATGGTAAATAATAGTGGATTGCAATGTGAATAGGAGGTGTACCAGTCGCATCCGTCTTCTTCGCCTTCTTCCATGCCTCGCCGGAAAATCAGTTGAGAAGCCACGAAGAAGCAGGGAAGCCATTGGAGTCCGAAGTCGCCATCCTCGACCCGAACACAGCAACGCTGGCTCTCTAGGTTCGCCAACGTCACCCAAGAAGCAAGGATGCCACAGCGACTATTTCGCCGGGAAGCCAAGCCTGCCTCCGCCGGACCACCACGCCGCAACGCTAGTCCAGTGATGCCCTGGTTCACCGACGCCGCCATCTCTTTTCCTTGCGTCGTCCATCGTCGTCCAAACCCTGTACGTAGTTTCTGGATGGAGAGAGATCAGCGATGGCAATGCCGAAGTCTGAAGCCGCACGGTGGTAGAGCACCTCCGCTGGAAACCCAGCGACCAGCGCCGCCCTAGGCTATCAGAACAGCGACCAGCGCCGGCAACATTAGTCGCGTTGCCGTCATCTTCATCGCGACGTCACCACCGCCGACGGCCATACACTGTCCTGACTCGAAGTCGTGACGCCAACAACCAACGCCCTCCGTCGCCCACGTAAAGCTAAGCTCGCCGGTGACTAAGCCGCAACGCCACCGCCGACAGCTCGAAGCACGGAATGAACTCTAGGCAGTAGGTACATCACCATGCAAAAACAAATTCGAAAAATAACTGAATAAATCATGTATAGAAGAATTCAATATACATGAACTTAATATTGATTTTCGAAATAATTTTGTATCTAAAGCAATACAACAAATTAGGCAGAGATTTTTAGGGATCTAATACCAAATGTTATATAATAAATTGACTAACATAAACTGTAGTAACGAGTAACCTGTCTCGTAGTAGCGGAAGCTTCAGGATCATCCAAATATCCATCGCCATAGTTGTTGTTATTGCCATGGGATGGTAAACCTGCAGAATAGTTTTGTCTACCACTTCTCTCCCGAATACCTGATGGTGCGTGTATTCTGAACACGGAAGCTATGGGAGGACTGTTTTGCTTAGAAGCCTACATGCCATCAACGTAGGCAGATATTCAGTTAAAGCTTAACTGAATATCCTGAGTTGCCTAACAGATTAAGCCACTAACTGACTTAATCTTCCACTTGCACCACAACCACTTAATTAATACAATATATTATAATATATTATATTAGGGAAAATACTTACAAAATTGACTGCTCAATTTTGTTGGCAAGAAGAGGAGTTTAGGATTCTACCCTACATGCCGATTCTCATTTGATCTGTTATATATATATATATATATATATATATATATATATATATATATATATATATATATGAAAGGGATCAGGTGCGGGAATAGCTTCCCGTGCGGTTGTGCGGTTGGACGCACATTAAGAATTAAATTGACGCACTTTAAGTAAAAACACACACACATTAAGCACACAAACAAAGCACCTTAAGAACACAAATCACGCACCTTAAAAACATCAACCACGTACCTTAAACACATGTGCTCTGGAAGAAGGGCCAATGTGAACTAGAACGCAAAATTATACACAAAAATGTGCAACAATTATTGAAAAGATTAAATTTATTACATGATCTTCAATACAATTTATAAAAGATTAAAATATTCAACTAAAAAGAGTAATTATTGATTAATTAAAGATCAAATTCTCTCTCTCTCCATATATATATATATATATATATATATATATATATATATATATATATATATATATATATATATATATATATATAAATTAAGTTCATATGCGGTTGAGTGTCTCCTGTGCGGTTGTGCGGTGATTAATGTGCGTGAGTTTTTTACTTAAGGAGTGTGAGTCTTGTGTTTAAGGTGTGTGAGTTTTGTGCTTAAGGTGCGTAAGTTAAGGTGCATGAATTTTGTGCTTGAGGTGCGTGAGTTTTGTGCTTAAGGTGCGTGAGATTAGTGTTCTTAATTTGAGTAGTTGTTGAAACTTAAGGTGCATGGGTTTTGTGCTTAAAGTGCGTTAGTTTTGTGCTTAAATTGCGTGAGTTTTTGCTTAATATGCATAAGATTACTGTTCTTAATGTGTTTTGTTTGTGTGCTTAATGTGCATGTATTGTATACTTAAAGTGCATGAGTTTAATGCTTAGTCCAACCTCACAACCACACTATCACACAGGAAGTCATTCCCGCACCCCGATCCCTTCCCTTTCCTATATATATATTCCGTTGTTATCATATGCATGTCTTTCTAGTTTTCGTTTTCCTCTTCTGTTAAATCACCAGCAGACTAGCAAGAAGATGTGGAAGCTTAAGATTGGCGAAGGTGGCGGGCCGTACATTTACAGTACCAACAACTATGTCGGCCGACAAATATGGGAGTACCACCCTAACGCCGGCACGCCAGAAGAACGAGAAGCGCTTGAAAATGCCCGCCAAGAGTTCAGAAAAAACCGGGAGAAAGGTTTCCGTGCTTCCAGTGATTTGTTCAAGAGAATGCAGGTCAGGCCGGGCTCGCAACAATGGATCGGATCGGAGGTTTTTAGTATTTTTCAAGTTTTTGTTTGATTAGTTAATGTTGTGTGCAGATGATCAAAGAAAGTGGGGTTGATGTGTTAAGTCTTCCAGCAATAAGATTAAGAGACGGAGAAGAAGTGAACTATGAGGCAGTCACAACCGCAGTTAGAAAAGCCGTACGGCTGAACCGTGCACTTCAAGCCAAAGATGGGCACTGGCCAGCTGAGCATTCTGGACCAATGTTTTTCATTCCTCCTTTGGTATCTTAGGGCATCCTATTTATGCATTTTGAGAAAGTTTTTTCACGAAATTTTTTTTTTGGGAGGGGCTTTTAATTTTATTTTCTTTGGATATTTTTCTCGTGCAAATTGAGGTTCTTTTCGGACCAATCATTATTGTATGGACCATGGTCCACACAAGTTGTGTGGATCATATTTTGTCTACTGTAAAATAATGTACATTTAGTACAAAAATAATGTACATTCAGTACAAAAATAATGTACATTTAGTATATTAAAAATGTACATTTTATTATGGTCCACATAACATTGTGTGGACCATGGTCCATACAATAATTTGCCTTTTCGGAACCATTGATTAGTGAAATTGGAGAAAGAACTGTGCGTGAAAAGCATTATATTGCAGCGCGCCCAGCATGACGCTGCACAAGCCAACTGGGCCCGTAAAATGATCTTTTCTTTCTTTTTTTTTTTTTTTTTGTTTTTTTTTTTCCTCTCACTTATTTTCTATTTCAGTGTTTTTCTTGGAAAATCCCACTAAAAAATTAAATTGATGTTTCTATTGCTCTTAAACATTTCTCTATAAGAGTAACACGACAAGAGTGGCTTTTGTGAGTTTTTTGTGATACCATGACTTATGAGAAGTAAAGAGAAAAAGGAGAGAGAAAATAAGTTGGTTATGCAATAATAGTTTTTTTTTTTGGGCTCATGAAATCGTATTTTTTTTAAGAAAAAAAAAAAGAAAAAGAAGAGAAAAGCTTCCTTGAGTGTACATCAGGCTTACTAGGGACGCCCAGAGGGCGGTGCAGGGGCATTAATAACATATTTTTCCTTTCTTTTTTTTTTTTCTCCCATTTCCATTTACGTGGCATGACAAAAAAAAAAAAAAAAAACCTTCCAGGATCCTTTAATAATAATTGTTAATGTGACAGGGGACTGAAGAGAGGGTGTGTGGCAATCAAAGTTATTGAAATCATTAATTGTGTAAAATGATTTGCAGATGATTGTGTTGTACATAAGTGGCGCAATGAATACCATTCTGACATCAGAACACAAGAAAGAATTAATTCGATTTCTCTACAATCATCAAGTATGTACTTAGGGAAAATATATTTTCGACTTTATAATTGTAATAAAAAATAAATAAATACAAACTTAATTAGATATATCACCTATAGTCTATACATACATATTTATTATTAGCAGATTGCTTCCTTTATTATGGTATTTTATTTTATTTTTATTACTTATGTTCAATTCTTGTATATATGATAGAATGAAGATGGTGGATGGGGATTCTACATAGGTGGACACAGTACCATGATTGGGTCAGCACTCAACTATGTGGCCTTGCGTTTGCTTGGAGAAGGACCTGATGACGGTGATGGTGCCATTGCTAGGGGTCGAAAATGGATTCTTGATCATGGGGGTGCTACTCAAATTCCTTCTTGGGGAAAGGTTTATCTCTCGGTATGTGATATTTATAATTATTTTATTTAATTAAAATTTAAACTCATTGCAAATTTATGTATTGTCATAATCTCTTTTTGACAATCTCATCCTTCACATAAAATAATAAAAAACTCACTCTACTAATTAATATTAAAAAAAAATCACAACACAATAACATTGTGTAGGAAATTAATCATAGCAAAAAAATCAAAACAAAATCGCAGCAAAATAATCGGGAACAAGAAACCACAACAAAATTTGATTTCCAGAGTAAAAATCAATCTGGCCGACTACTGTTTTCACTTCGAAAACCAGTCGGCCAGACTGGCTTCGGAATCAATCTGGACGACTGGTTTCTGAGCTAAAACCAATTGATCAGATTGGTTTCCGGCCCGACAATCATTTCAGAGAATTTGGAAGAAGGTGAGAGAGAAGAGGCGTGAGGAGAGGGCAAAGAACTTGAAAAATGACTCCCAAAAAAAAAAGTGAAAATCATTTTTCTGAAAATCTGATGCATTTTCCATTGACCAAAACATGATTTTTCATTGACTGTACTCTAAGTTTTCTTTCTTCTCAAACACTGGAAATTAAGAAAATGATTTCCAGAAATATTTTTATGGGTTTCAAAACACACCCTAAAAGATAAATTTTAGGATCAAACTTTATCAAAATTTAAATTAAAATAACAATAGTTTCATGACTTTTCTGGTGATCAAACTTTATTTGAAAGTTTGTATATATTTTAGAACATCCTTACCTAATTCACCTATATTATCTTTGATTGCTTTTCTGTTTTAACATTTTGATGAGAATACATTTACAATCGAGATTTTTGTGGTTCTAAAATACTAACTTGTGCATGTTAATTATTAGAGGTCCTTGTCTTTGGTATCAATTTTAAATTTAGTTCCAGACTATCGTTTTTGTCATTTAAAGTTTTTCTTATGACTTTTTTATTTTTAATAAGAGTATTTTTGTCTCTACATATTTTTTTTTTATTTTTTTTCGATTTCAATCGGTTTAATTGGTTTAGGACTTTACTTAAAAATCGGTTGAAAAATATGGTTACAAAAAATTAGAGGTTACCTAAAGTCCTAAACCAATTAAACCGGTTGAAACCGGAAAAATAACAAGAGAAAAATATAAGACAAAAATGTCCTTTCTAAAAATAGAAAAAGTCATGAGAAGGACTAGAAGTGTCTAAAAAATAATAGTCTGGGATGTTAACTGACAAAAATGATAATCTAAGATTAAATTTAAAATTATCACCAAAGACAAAGGATCTCTGGTGGAATCGAGTTTCATCAAAATTTAATTTGCAATTTATTCCTAATAACTAAATTTATTAAAATTTTTAACTAAAGGGTAAGAACCCATTTAAAGCAATAGACCACTCTCACTATCATCTTACTCAAGAATATGAAGGGTTTATTTGAAAACCTGGAAAATAAATGATTTTCAGAAAATAATTTAATTTTTTAATGTTTGGGTGAAATGCACGAAAATTATCTTTTTTCTATTTGCGTAAAAATTAAGAAATTCAATCTTTTATGTTTAGTTGTAGTAGTAGTAGTAGTGGTTTGTTAGTGGTGGTAGTAATATTAATGTGAAAACTAATGTAGTAGTAGTAGTAGTAGTAGTGGTTTGTTAGTGGTGGTAGTAATATTAATGTGAAAACTAATGTAGTAGTAGTAGTAGTAGTGGTTTGTTAGTGGTGGTAGTAATATTAATGTGAAAACTAATTTGAAAAGAGATGATGAGAGATAAGATAAATACGAGAAAATAAAGAATTCGAAAAATATCTTCCTACTAAAGATCTAGAGAGACATTTCACGCCAAATTGGATTTTTTTTTTTGTTAACCAAAATAAATATGTTTCATTTAACTTTATTTTTCTTGAATATTCAAACACAAAAAAAAAAAGAATAAAAAAAAAATGAAAGAATGACTTTCGAAAGTCATTTTCCAAGTTTCAAAACCTATGTGATAGGGAATATACCTCAGGCTATTACCCTTTTGTTCTAGGAACCTGATCGGATACGACTCAATGCAAGCCATGGGTCTCTTCCCGATCTGACCTGACTTGAATAGAGTACCCGTCTAACCCGACCTGTTGGTTAAGCATATTAATGGCTTAATAAGCTTCTGCCCTTAGCCTTGGGAGCTCGGCTCCAATCTATATGCTCGGCTGGTAGACCGAGCTCACGTACTTAGCACTTAAGAATGAACAACAACAATAGCGCACAAACGAACCAAGCCTGATAAACATTGGCTAATCAGATATTCCTTGACACGTGGACGCCTTTCCCTAGCCCCCAGGACCGCCGAGTGCATGAGAGACACATATCAGACATGCTAACCCTCCGGCATGTGTCCATTTCAATTCCTATAAATACCCAGTTAGCTAGAGGTTAGAGAAGGGAACTTTCCCCAATTCTTCCACTAAAATATTTTTTTTGGCTCGGGAACCTCCGACTTTCGATCCCAACTATCCAAGTTACTATCCTCAAATACCTATTATTTGGTGACATATACACACGTATATTTCCGATTAAATTTACCACATCATTATGGACCTTAAATCACACAAATATTTCCATTCTTCCAAAAATAGCTTTAGCCATTTAGACATTTTAATTAAACTAATATTTCAACTGTTAAAAATATTATAATTTTATCTAAACTTTAAATATATATTTTTTTTAGGTCCTTGGAGTATATGAGTGGGATGGGTGTAATCCACTCCCACCAGAATTTTGGCTTTTCCCTTCCAATTTTCCATTCCATCCAGGTAATTACTAAAGTTGATAATTGCAAAATAATAATAATAATTAAAGTACTTAACATATATAGTACAGTCATATATTGTCACAACAATAATATAATATTATGTCATTATAATTCAGCAAAAATGTGGTGCTACAGCCGATCAACATACATGCCAATGTCATTCTTATATGCTAAGAGATATCATGGGCCACTTACCGATCTTGTTCTCTCCATAAGAGCAGAAATTCATGTCAAACCTTATGATCACATAAATTGGAACCGCACTCGCATGGCTTGTTGTAAGGTTAGTCGCATTGCATATATATATATATATATATATATATATATATATATATATATATATACTTAATCAAGTTACGTGAAGTATTGTATTTAACAAATAGAGTAATTAATATGTTGTATAGCAAAACATTATAAACAATTTCTTAGAAGATTTAATCACATTTTTGGTTATGTTGTTCGAGTATTTCCTACTTCGGTATGTGTTCACTCAATTTTTCTTATTAAATTGTAAATTTGGTCTCTCTAGCTACCAGGTCACAGCCAACTAGATCTGGACCATTATTAATTGTGCATTTACAGTTGTATAGTTGATAATGAACTAGATCTGACCATTGATCTCTATTTATTAATGGATCAAATCTATCTACACGAACTCATTGGAAAGGGGTGGACTCACTATATATATATATATATATATATATATAATTATATAAATATATATATATATAGAGAGAGAGAGAAGAAAGTTCAAATGCGGCGGGGTCTTCCCGTGCGGCGGTGCGGCGAAATTTTAGAATACGCCAACAGTGTTAACAACATACACCAACAGTGTAAGGGAAACACACCACAATGAAATGTAAAAAAAAACACCAAAAAATATACAACAGACCCAAAAAAATATACCATATAACTAACACCCCAATGGTGTATTTTCGAACACCGTAGATGTTTTTACTAACACCTAATGGTGTGTTTTTGGTGATGCGTACCTAATTTGTTTGTGTTTTTGTGGTGTATTTTTCTAACATTGATGAGGTATATTTGTTGAACTATTGGTGACGTCGCACCGTAAGACACCGCCGCACTTGAACCTTCCCCCTCTCTCTCTCTCTCTCTCTATATATATATATATATATATATATATATATATATATATATATATATATATATATATATGTATAAAATTTAATTACTAGCTTAGCTAGCTTCCATACAAATTAAACAATGTAACATACATCAACTAAATGCATGCAGGAGGACATCTTCTGCCATCATACATTGATACAAGATCTGCTGTGGAACACCCTTCAATACTGCACTGAGCCCATGATGAGGCATTGGCCATTCAAAAAAATTAGAGAAATAGCTGTGAGAAAAGTAATCAGCCACATGCGCTATGGAGCTGAAGTGAGCAGATACATTACCACTGGTGCAGTGGAAAAGGTTTGAATACACCAAATAATATATATATTAATGGAAAAGTATATATATAGATGAGGATTGATTACCATAACACAACTACTAATAATAATAGACTCCTAACACTTCCCTCAAACATAAGATTGATGCGCAACAACATTGAGCTTGCCACAAAAAAAGATGAACCGCGGACTAGAAAGAGCCTTAGTAAAAATATCCGCTAGCTGATCCTTCGTGGAAATAAAATGAACCTGTAACTCCTTTGCCACATTGTCAAGAACAAAATGGGTAGTCAATCTTCACATGCTTTGTCCTAGCATGGAAAACCGGGTTTGCACACAAGTAAGTGGCTCCCAAATTGTCACACCAAAGAGTAGGTGGCGACCCCGGGCACAAACCAAGCGCGCTACAGTACGCTGCTTCCGACAAGTCCAGGAAACCAGATTACTCCCTAGAAAAACCGCAAAACCACTCATAGATTTTTGTCATCCGGATCACCAGCCCAATCCGAATCTAGGAAGACATGCACATCAACAGAAGCAGACTTACGATATGTAAACCAAAATGAAGAGTACCTTTGACGTACCACAATACACGCTTGAGCATGGCCCAGTGCTCAGTAGTAGGAGAGTGCATATGCTGACACAGCTTGTTGACAGCAAACGACAGGTCCGGTCTCGTCAGTGTAAGAATCTGGAGAGCCCTAGCGAGACTCCGATACTGCGTGGGATCAGCGCAAGGAGTTGCGAAATCATCAGAGTCCGAGTAAGATAGACTGGTGTAGTCAATGCTTTACAATCAACTATACCAACGCGCTTCAGAATATCCTGCATATACCGCTGCTAAGAAAGAAGTAATCCATCATGCCAAGAAACCGTCTCAATGCCTAGAAAAAAAAAAGACGGAGCACCCATGTTGCGAATCTTAAACTCAGACGCTAACTTCGCAAGAAGACCGGTGACACGAGAGGAATCAGAACCCATGACCAGATTGTCATATACATACACAAGCAGATATAATTGAATAGAATCACGCGTGTAAATAAACAAGGAAACATCAGTCTTGGATGGAGTAAACCCAATCGAGACAAAGAAAGAATGCAACATATTGAACCAGGCTCAGGGAGACCATAGAGCGACCTCTACAGTAAATACACATGATCCAGCATAGACTTGTCCTCATAACTCGGGGGTTGCTTCATGTAAACGGTCTCAGCAAGATTACCGTTCAAGAAAGCGTTGTAGATGTCCAATTTCCTGATAGTCCAACCACGCGACACGACTAAGGACAATAGAAGCCGAACTGTAGTCGGTTTAACCACCGGACTAAACGTCTCAAATAAATCTTGCCCGACCACCTGGTTAAACCCCTTAGCAACCAACCGAGCCTTATGCCTCTCTACGATGCCATCCGCCTTCCGCTTCATCCTGAAAACCCATTTGCACCCCACAATATTCATACCGGGAGTATGACGAACCAAACGCCAAGTATTATGCTGGAGTAAGGCGTTGAACTCCAAATTCATGGCCTCAAGCCACTCAGGGTACTGCACCACTTGAGAGTAGCACGTCGGTTCAGGCACAGCAGCAGTGGCCACCAATACCACATGCTCAGTCCGACCCATACTACGAGTAGCCATCACATGAGACCGAGGTTGAACCGACTTGGGAGCACGATGAGCTGGACGGGAATGAGCAGTCTGCCCAGCTACCATAACACCATCCAGGACCGATGCAGTGACAGTACGGGAACTGGAAGCATACGAGTCGGGCACAACAACTGGAACCGGACGTGTACTGGAACTGGACGTCATAGCACAAACATCATACTCGGGTGGCACACACATACTGCCAACACCCCAAGGAGCCTCCGGAACTGGACCAGAAGCCTACACAGACACAAAAGTAGCAAACCGATAAACGGTTTCATCAAACCGCACATGGCGACAAATGAAAACCTTGTTATTAGCAAGATCCAAACAACGATAGCCACGAAACGAAGGTAGATAACCAAGAAAAACACAAGGAACAGACCGAAATTGCAATTTCTTGCGATTGTATGGACGCAACAAAAGGTAACAAAGACACTCGAAAACACGCAAAAACGAGTAAGATGAACTAGAACGATGAAGCCTAAAATGAGGACAATCATTGTTCAACGCACGAGTAGGAATTTTATTAATGAGGTAGACCGCAGTTTCAAAAGCGTAGTCCCAATAATGAGTTGGAACCAAGGCCTGAGCCATCAAGGAAAGACTAGTTTCCACAATGTGACGGAGCCTACGTTATGCCCGACCATTTTTCTCATGGGTATACGCACACGACTGCCTATGATTAATACTCAGAGAGGAGAACGTTTTATGTAAATGTTTGTACTCTCCCCCTAAATTAGATTGTACATAAATAATTTTGCGATTAAACAAACGCTCAACAAGAGACCGAAACTAATCGAAAATGGCATACAAGTCAATTTTGGCACGCATTGGATAAAACCAAACATAACGAGTATAGTCATTGACAAACAAAACGAAATAACGAAATCCATTGACAAAAAGTAAAGGCGCTGGGCCCTAAATATCAGTATAAAGTAGCTCTAAAACATGAGAAGTAGTAGCTTCAACACGAGGCAAGGGAAACAGAGACGATTTTCCCAACATACATGCATGACAAGAAACCGAATTATCACTAAAACTAGAATCAAGTGAACAAGAATTTAAAATCTGACACAAAATACGAGTGTGTGGGTGACCCAGCCGACTATGCCAAATGGATGAGGACGCACAAGTAGCCACTAAAGCAGCAGGACTCTGACGAGAGGCATGCCATGAATAGAGACCACCCGAAGCCTGCCCCTTATATATGACCGCCCTGGTTGTAAGATCCTTCACAAAGAAACAATCCGGCTGAAATTCAAAAAATACACTATTATATCTAGCAAAACGTTGCACATATAATAGAGATGCAGACAACTCAGGAACGTAAAGAACATTATACAACTTAAAGCATTTAGTAAAAGAGGCTACTGAAGCATTTACTCTTGCCAACCAGTACTAATAATAGGTAAACATTTACTGTTGCCAACCCAAAGATTGTCAGGCCCAGTGTAAGAAGTGGTAGAGGACATCAATGACGGATTAGGAGTACCATGGTTTGAAGCACCGGTGTCAGGAAACCATTGTTGAGACCCAATGGAGCTCGCATCATCCACTGGAAACGCAACATGAGCCGGCGGCCCTGGAGCATGGACGTAGCGCCGGAAACACACCAAGGCGGTATGGCCTTCGCCATTGCAAATCTGACACCGTATGCAACCATTTCGATTATGGCCATGGCCTCGACCACGATGCCCGCGACCGTTACCATCGTGCTGCCCACTAGGCCGGTCACCACACTGAGGCGCCATAACCACCGGGACAACCACTTCGCCGCTATCATCTACACAAATAAAGGCCTGGGAAACCAGGAAGTTAGTCAATTCACTTAGTGACACCGGAGCTCCCCTCGTCAATGAAGCAACTAGAGGCTCGTATTCAAAATGGAGACCCCGAAAAATGTACATGTTTTGATCCTTGAGTGTGATTAGCCGGCGGGCCAGCGCTAAGTCTTCAATCAAAACCTGTGCGCGGCCGAGATAGTCGGTGATGGAAACGTCTCCCTGCCTCAACGACTGCAACTGACCAACGAGACACAGCGCACGGGCGCGAGTCGTCGACCCTAGGGTTTGCTCGATCGACGTTCACAGTTGACGAGAAGACGTCCTCCACACTACAAGGTGCATCATCTCGTCCGAGAGGGAAGAGATAAGAAGGGAGAAGACAGTCTGGTCCTAACGGAACCACGCAACACGAGCAGTAGACGGAGTAGCGGGAACATCAGCGGCCGAAGCATCCGCCGGCGCAGCCTCAGCCAGACACGACATGGTGCCATCTAAGAAACCTAGCAGCCCTTGACCTTGAAGGAAGGGAATGAGCTAAGTATGCCAGAAAAGGTAGTTCGAGGACGGTAACTTGACTAATAAAAAATGATGGGCGGAAGGGAATGAGACATTCGACTGCAACGGAGCCGAGAGAGCAGCCTTGGAAACGGTCCGTTCGGATGAATATCCGACAGAGCCGTCAACAGAACCGAGCGTCACCATGGAAAATTACCGTGAAACTGCTGATACCAGATGAGGATTGATATCTCTGAATGTCAATCATACAGGACTGTACAAAAATAGTATAAGAATACAATAATACGAGTCCTACCGTAACACAACTACTGATAATAATAAACTCCTAACAATATATTATATATATGGCCCTCTTTTAGTTTCTCAGTTGTGCTGTGTGTGGCAGTAGAATACACTACGTACTATATGCGTTTAGATATTTATTATGATAGTAGGTTTTTATTGCCAAGTTAGAGGGGTCAGATTGTGAGATGGAGGAAAGAGAAGAAAATGATTTTGCATGAAGTAGAGTTTTTTATGGGCTCTAAAATTTTTTTTCATTTGTGTTTCGCGCACAACTACACCAGATGAGCACGTAAATCATTAATATTTTTTTGACAGAGTTGTTTATTTTTTACTTTTGTTTTTTTTTTTTTTTTTAGTTTTGTTTTCTCTCTCCTCTCTCTTAATTAGCTTGCAAAAATCAAGAAAAAACATGACCATTGAGGTTGCTCTTTTGTGGTGTATTTTTTTTTTGTGTGGTACATTTTTTGGCATTTCATTCAGGTGTATTCTCGAACACTGTATGGTACATTTATACATACCTAGTGGTGTATGCCGCACTAACCGCACAGAAAGACATGTTCTCACAGGAACCAATATATATATATATATATATATATATATATATATATATATATATATATATATATATATATATATATATATATATATATATATATATATATATATATATATAGTCAGGTTCCTATGAGAACTTGTCTTCCCGTGCGGTCAGTGCGGCATACACTGTTAGGTATGCATAAATGCATCACTACACCATTATGTGTGGTGTATTTTTTTTTTTTTTTGTGGTACATTTTTTGGCATTTCATTCAGGTGTATTCTCGAACACTGTATGGTACATTTATACATACCTAGTGGTGAGGTTCTTGTGAGAACATGTCTTCCCGTGCGGTCAGTGCGGCATACACTGTTAGGTATGCATAAATGCATCACACACTGTTCGAAAATACACCATTATGTGTGGTGTATTTTTTTTTATGTGGTATATTTTTTGGCATTTCATTCAGGTGTATTCTCGAACACTGTATGGTACATTTATACATACCTAGTGGTGTATGCCGCACTAACCGCACGGAAAGACCTGTTCTCACAGGAACCAATATATATATATATATATATATATATATATATATATATATATATATATATATATATATATATATATATATATATATATATATATATATATATATATATATATATATATAGTGAAAGGTTCTCGTGTGGATGTGCGGTGGATTAATGTGCGCGAGATTTGTACTCAATGTGCGTGAGTGTTGTGCTTAATGTGCCTGAGATTTGTACTTAATGTGCGTAAATGTGTAAAATGCAGCAGAAAATATTGATGTCAGCTTCTTCCCCATCCCCAGTAGCCATTTGCCCCCTCCCTGATGATGATGATGCGGAGGCGAGTTATGGTGGTTAAAAATTATGGGAATAATACAACAGAAATCCACACTTAATTGCTGTGCAAATTTTACTGTGCGTGCGTCATTTATATAAACATTCAACTGCACTGAAGGTAGCTGATAATCCAGAATCCATGGCCAAATTGAAGGAAGAAGTAACAAGAAACTTGGGCGTTAATGTGCGTGAGTTTCTGTTCTGCTTCCTTCTGAGCTTGTAATTCTGAAATACGCACGCACATTAAGCACAAATCTCACGCACATTAAACACAATACTCAGGCACATTAAGTACAAAACTCACGCATATTAACATGACGCACATTAAGTACAAATCTCAGGCACATTGAGTAGTAATCTCACGCACATTAAGTATAAACCTCACGCACATTAATCCGCCGCACAACCGCACGGGAAGCAACAAATGCACCTGATCCCCTCCATATATATATATATATATATATATATATATATATATATATATATATATATATATATATATATATATATATATATATATATATATATATATATATTAAGAGCAAATATCAATTTTGGTCCATGTGTATTAGCAAAATGACAATTTTGATCCACATGTTTAATTCCTACCAATTTCCATCTACGACTATTGTGTTAGTACTAATTTTTATCAGTGACTATTGTTTTAGTGCCAAAATTTACCACTCCGATCACTCATCCGTTTAAGACATGCAGAAATATGAAATTATTAAGGGTATTTTCATCTTTTTCAAATTAAGATTCAAATTTGAGCATGTATAAAGGGAGTTAAGCCTTTGGATCAATCTTAATTCGCAGTTCTCCTCATCGAATTAAGGTAGGATGAGGAGGAGAATTGCGAGTTAGGATCAATCTTAGGGCTTAAATCCTTTTATTCATACACAAATTGAGATCTTAAGTTGAAAATGACAAAAATACCCTTAAATATTTTTTACATATCGGCATGACTTAAATGATGGGGTGACCGGCTTGATGATGATTTTTGGCACTAAGACAATAGTCGTGGATGAAAATTGGCACTAAAACAATAGTCGTGGATGAAAATTGATAAGAATTAAACATGTTGACTAAATTTGTAATTTTGCTAATACTTGTGTGACCAAAATTGATATTTGCCATTTTTTTTATTACAATTCCTATTTACTACCAAACAAAGTAACTTCACCTACCTAAACCTATTGAGTTAATACCCAAAATCGTCCTCGACTATTGTGGTTTTTCTCAATTTCGTCCTAAACGACTTTGGTGACCTAATATCGTCCCACACTTTTGTGGTTCGCTCAATTTAGTCCCAGACTTTTGTGTTTTTGCTCAATTTAGTCCCTCATTTGTAATTCTGTCCATTTGGTGTTAAATAAATAGACAATTCAGTAATTTTAATATTGGCATCTCTTTACTCATAGACATGTGAACTGCGAAATCCTTTTTTTTTTTTTTTTTTTTTTTACGAATTACTCCTAAAACTGCGAATATAAAATTTGATTCGCAGGTCCAGGAGTAATTCTGGGTGTAATTCGTACAAGAAAGAGGAATTTCCCACTTCACAAGTTGAAAGTAAAGAGAGATCAATATTGACATTACTGAATTGTCCCTTTATTTAACACCAATTTGACGGAATAACAAATGGAGGACTAAATTGAGCGAAACACAAAAGTCTGGGACGATATTAGGTCACCAAAGTCGTTTAGGACGAAATTGAGAAAAACCACTATAGTCGATGACGATTTTGGGTATTTACTCTAAACCTATTACCATTGTCAAGTATTTGATTCTCATTATCATTCGGATTCCAATGTTTCAACCAAACACACCCACACTTAGTCCATCATCAATTATTGGTTGGTGTATTTAATTTTTTGTAGAGTTTGCAAATGATGTGTTGGTGGGCGGAGGATCCAAGCTGCGATGAGTTGAAGTACCATCTGGCTAGGGTTCCAGATTTTTTATGGCTTGCAGAAGATGGGATGAAAATGCAGACCTTTGGGAGTCAGAATTGGGATACCACTATGTCCACTCAAGCTATTATTGCGACTGGTATGGTTGAAGAATATGGAGATTGTCTGGAGAAGGCCCATTTCTATCTCAAACTATCACAGGTATATATATATATGTTCATTAATTTAGATGGAGCTGAGCTTAATTATTTGAAAATGCCCGGTCAAATAATATAATAATATATATGCAGATAAAAGAAAACCCAAAAGGAGACTTCAAAAGTATGTTTCGCCATTTCACGAAAGGGTCATGGACATTCTCTGATCAAGATCAAGGTTTGGCGGTCTCTGACTGCACAGCAGATGCCCTTAAGGTTATTATTTGCATATATGTTGAAACCTATGCAAATTAATAAATAACTCCATAAGACATATATATGTCTTCACAAATTAAAAATACACTTGTTTTGTTGCAGTGTTTAGTACTCCTTGGGCAAATATCGCCTGAAATTGCAGGAGAGAAAGTCAATGTTCAGCGCTTGTATGAGGCTGTTGATATCTGCCTTTATCATCAAGTAAGTACACTTACTTTCATTCTTTCCTCTACCAAAATTATATTCTACAAATAAGCTAATGTTCGGAGGAGGCCGATAAAAGGTCAAGTGCATCAATTAGTAGCTAGAAGATTGTTGGGCGGAGGTTAGTAAAGGGCAAAATTCAAACACTTGAAAATGTGATGTAGGTCTATAAACTAAGGAAATAAAGTTGCTCATTAACTACAAATTATAGCTTTTGGTATAGTGGTTTCCTAACAACTAATATCAAAGTCAAGCCACGGTTAGAGTCCAAGCAAAGGTCGAAGGCCGGTAAAGGGCCAAGTCCATCTCAGCAAGAGGCGGAGGCCGGTAAAGGGTTAAGTTCATCAATTGGTGGCTAGGAGGCTAAGTCTAGCACCTGAGTCCCAGCAAGAGGCGAAGGCGAGTAAAAGGCCAAGTCCATCAATTGGTGGCTAGGGGGACTGTTGGGCGGAGGCAGGTGAAGGGCCAAGTCCAGCACCCTGCCTCTCAAAAATGTGATAGCAATGTATAAGGAAATAAAGTTGCGTCTTCACAACTAGGCATAACTTTTGGAATAGTGGTAAACACTTAATCCTATCAAGTGATATCAGGATCAGGTCACGGGAGGGGCCAAGTCCATCATATCAATTGGTGGTTATGGGATCGTTGGGTGAAGCTAACTAGCTAAGTCCATCATCCTACCTTTTGAAAATCCGATGACGATCTATAAGGAAATAAAGTTGCAGCTATAGCTTTTGGCGTAATAGTAAGCGTTTGATCCTAACAATCTATATTTTTGTTGAATTCAGAGTCCCAAGAGTGGCGGGTTTTCTGTTTGGGAGCCACCCGTTCCACAACCATACCTCGAAATGTTGAACCCCTCTGAAATCTTTGCAGATATTGTTGTAGAAGGAGAGTAAGATCCTAATTCTTCTCACCTAAAATAATGAATTAATTAATTAGTATAATGTTATTGAGTAATATATAGTGTTTGTATCATTCAATTTAATTTGCATGCTAATTAAGTGTTTTTGGTGGGTGGGTTAGGCAAGTAGAAACTACTGGAACTATAGTCAGTGGCCTTGCAGTCTTCAAACATCATTATCCAGATTATAGATCAAAAGAAGTTAATGTCTCTATTGCAAAGGCCGCACAATACCTTGAAAATGAGCAGCAAGCAGATGGATCATGGTATGGGTATTGGGGAATTTGCTTCCTCCATGGTACTTGCTTTGCCCTATTAGGGCTAACAGCTGCGGGAAAGACTTATGAGAATTGTGAAGCCATCCGTAAAGCTGCTCACTTCATCCTGTCAAAACAGAACCATGAGGGTGGCTGGGGAGAATGCCTTCAATCTTGCCCAACCATGGTACGTGTATGACCCTGTTTGGTAAATAACTATTAACTGTTTGAGTTAATTAGATGGTATAACTAATTGATAACATTAGCTGATTGTAGAAAAAGTATTTGGTAAATTAGCTGTTAGCTGATAGCTGTTTGGTATAATTTCTTTTTTCAAAAAGCTAATTGAAAAAATTGTTTTGAGCAGTTTTTTGAATTTTAGCATTTTGAAATTATAAAATGCTTAATTAATCAAACAATTATATTGATTTTTTTTATTTTTTATTTTTTGAGAAGGAAAAACTTATATTGATTTTTTAAGAAGTCAAAAAGCTAATAGAGGTCAAATAAGACAAAATTAGCTAACTATTTTACCAATCTAACCAATACTACAAAATTAATTAACGCTTTACATTTGTAAAATTCGATCTCTAGCTAACTACGTTACGTTAATGATGATTTTGTGGAGCAGAGGTACATAGCGCTTGAAGGGAACCGTACGAATTTGGTACAAACATCATGGGCAATGCTAGGGCTTATGTACACTGGACAGGTTAATTAGCATATTTTAATGATTTGAAATTGAATGGTACTGTTTGGTTTAATTTGATGTATGCTCAAAATGCTTATAATCTAAGAATTTATTTGAAAAAAAAAATTGTTTTTCAAAAGTGATTTTCTGTATTTTCTAGTATTTGGATACTCAAGAAAAAATAAAATCAAAGAAAATATTCATTGTGGTTAGGAAAAAATTCAATTGGTGAAAAATGTCTTCATAATTTTTAGTAGAAGAAAATTTTCAGATTTTTTATTTTCTCATCTCTCTTTATATATATATTTTTAAAGTTAATTTCTAGATTATTATTATTATTACCACCACCACCAACACCACCACACCAGAACATGACAACACCATTTAAGTATTTAACCACCACCACCATATATTATTATTATAAAAAAATAATATATTAATCTTCAGGAAAATGAACTGAAAAAAAAATAATTTCTCAACTTTCAGTCAATCAGAAAAAAATAATTTTCTGATATATTTTTAAAACATTTTCTAAATTTCCAATCAGATTCTAAGTGTTTTTTTCTATGGTTTCCTTGTTAACTAGGCTGAGAGAGATCCAACTCCTTTACACAGAGCATCAAAGTTATTGATCAATGCACAAATGGAAGATGGAGATTTCCCTCAACAAGTAAGATCAACTAATTGAATTAACTCCTATAGTATTTGCAATTTAAGAATTTTCTCTTGGAAAAATTATATTTTGGAAAAATTGTAATTTATACCCCTCCATAATATGTCAGTTATCAATGTCACCCTTAAATTATTAGAGGTGTAAATATTGCCCCTCAATTTTTAAAACAGTAGATATATTGTCCCTCCCATATTGTACGGGAGGGGCAATATATGTATCGTTTAAAAAAATGAAGAACAACATTTATACTACCGAAAGACACTATATGTATCATTTTGAAAATTGATAGATAACATTTACACCACTAATAATTTATGGGTGACATTGATAATTGGTATATTATGGAAAGACATAAATTACAATTTTCCCTTATATTTTTCTCCCTCTATTGTGTTTGAGATAGAGTAGTCTAATCCATTTGAATCAATTTTTATAAATCTAATTGTTAGATGAGTTGTAAATATAGTCGATCGATCAGCCAAGTGAGATAATAATGTAAGTTGCTTGTAATCTACAACTCATTTCAGAATTAAGATAGATTCTTAAAGTAAAAGTGAAGAG